CTCCATCAACAACCTCTCTCACTTAACTGTTGATGAAGCTTGATTCCTGCCATCTTAGTTTATGTAATCATAACGTTAATACTCTCACATGTTTTTATGTCATTTAAGATTATTTGTCTGAAAAGGGTCGATAATTTTATAATACAGATATTTCACGATACAATCAGTCACCACATTTCTATTCATTAGTCTCTATACAACGATAACTGCTAAATTGAGTACATTTTTAAAAAATTGTTGAATACTAGCTGCTCTGCTTTTTGACTGCGAAGTGTATATTTATCCATATTTTCTTCCTGGTGTCTAGCTTTGTATGCTTATGGGTAATCAACAGCCAAAGTGCTGCACTGCGTCCAGTTGGGGGGAAAGAATCCCATTACGCTGAAGTCATTGAAAGCTGAGTTACTAAGTAATAAATAATTACTGACTTAAGTCCCTTCTGCTAAGAAACTGCTCGTTACATGTATGTAAAATATACGACAGTGGGAACACCAAATAACTGACAATTTACGCATGACCATTTCGTGACCTCATTCTGGTCACAATTTAAAAATCGATAGTCAGTGCTGCTGAAATTCTCAAAGTTACATTAGTTATCACTACTAATTAACGGACAATTTAGAAGATAAAATAATAAATCAGCGGAATAATGTTTCTTGTTGGGCAAAAGTTTGCGAATGTTACGATCGAGGTCTATTAGCATAGTGAAGGTTATGTCTGAAAGGAAAAGTGAATTAAATATTAACTATATGTATTGGATGCAAAGTATTAAATCATTTTCACATATGAGAAAAAGAAACAAAACCTAGTCCTAATTTACGTATGTGATGGGATCCCGAGATACGCTACAGATAGATCTGAAATACTGTGGAAGTCAGGTGAAGTTCTGTTCCCAAAAGACAAAATCTCAGCAAAATATCCAGATCATCACCCAACACGATAGCGAGACTGTTATATCCGGTGAAGATTAAATTACAGGTAACTTCCAAGGACTATTTATGGACTAATATTCTATAAATATTCTTATTGTATAACTATTCAACAATTACATTATGTATATTTATATTCCTCAGAATCCTTGTGAGACAACGGTTTCTAATCAATCAATTTGTCAGAATTCTCATGTTATTGTACCAGGTATGGCTTTTCCTGATGATTCACATATTTCTGATGAGATTTCTTATAAATCTGAAGAAAATATGTTGAGTGAACATAATTATGATCGAAAACCTGATGTAGTTTTGATAGATGCTAATTTTTCTAATGATCCTTTACTCTGTAATGTCATTCTTAATAAATTTGAGGAAACTATTTCAAGAGAATCAAATCTTGATGTCATATCAAATATTATTTGTCCTCATAATGCATTTGTTTCTTATGGGAAACTTGTTCACTGCGAAGCACAAGTACTAAATGAACTCGAGTTTGATTACAATTCGGATGATTTCATATCAACTGCTGTTTATCCTTATCACAAAAACACTTCTAATGTTTACTCTAACCAATGTGAGAAATATGTTTTAAATGAAGCTACATCATTCATAAGTTGGGGATGTAAGGATCCAATATTATTTCTTGGGGGAGAATAGTCTAAAAGTATATGGTTCAAATTCTAGGTAGCAGCGGTTTCAGTACACAACCGACATGCTGATTACACAATCCTAGGAAGCAGGTGAGTCTGTTCCGATTTCAGTTGTTAATTCTAATACTAATGAGCACATTCTAGATAATACAGAGTCTTTATCCAATACACTGTCGGACAGACACAGGATGAACTTAAGAAGACGTACGATCGATTACAGACATTTAGACTCTAATTTAAACTGTGGCGGATGTGGTGTTTGAATGAACTAATGATTCCTTTGTACTTGTTGAATGCTTGATTTCGAATTTCAAATACAGTACATTCGTTCGTGCTTATCTAGTACTTCTTGATCCCATTACGTTATATCTGGGATTCTTAGTTCGTACTATAATTCAAATACTTATTATTATCATATAAGATACTAACAAACGAAAGGTAACTATGCGTGGTTGCAGAGCTTCTTTTTAAATTAGCATTTCCATCGTCCATACCCCCAGTGTTAAGGGTTTACCACTAATCTTTCTTACTCAATAGTAGTTTCATCAGGAGCCATACTTTGTAGGCTAGATGTAAGCCTAAGATGCACTTTGTTGCAATTTATTTCAAAGATATGCCAAATTGTGTTTATCAATGAGACCAACTCTATACTGGAGATAAACAACAACAATTATTACGTATTCGTGGTACAAGCCTGCAAAACAAATTTAATGCATTCTCTGAAATTAAGCGGCCACCACATTGTCTGTTGTATGAAAAACATTGAACAAACGGAGGCAGTCAGCCTCAGTAAGTCAAGAGGGAATTGTATTTAAACTCTGCCACTCAAGTAGTTCAGGACTTGGAATTTCGAGAAAATAAATATGAATAACTCGATGAAACGAAATCACATGAGACAAAACAATGAAACTAATATACAATCTACATATTGATTCTAACATTGATAATAAAAGTAGGATAAATTAACTTACATTGCATAACTTAGCGACTCCAGCTAAAAAACAGTGAGATAATACATTAATCACCATTAAAAGATAAGTGGATTTTCTTACTGAGTAACAAAATAGACATATTACACTTAAATTCATAGAATGGTATGACGAGAGATAAAATAGAACCGTAAGTTTTACGATTGCTTGTTTTGAGAAAATAATGCAGTGACTGAGTTCGGCGTCTTGATAACTCACTGAGACCTGAACCCCCAACCAAAGAGATTTCAAGAAACAAAACCACCGGGCAACTGAGTTGGTGTATCGGGATTTGGGTATTTAAGTGTATATTAGGATACAAATGCTTCCATTCAACCAGAATAGTGACAGCTACTTGTCAGGTAATAAATGAATGATGGTAACAGTAATTACCAAAAATAATCGAATGACTATAAAAAAGGACTGAGGCGACCTTGGATCCCTTTGACGCCACCTAAAGAAAAAAATGCACTTTGCTTCGAAGCAGATCTAACATTTTGAATAGCTGAGTCACATGATCTTCAAAAGCTAACTAGGAAATCTTGATCTACTGACAAATATCAACCCGATACAGTTGCTAATCGCTAGGAAATATAGAGTAATACGCCGATCTCACTTGTTTTCACACGGTCCCAAGGCGAGGTAGAAATTAAAAGAACGGGACGTACTTTATGCTACCTTAATATAACTTTTGTTCCGAACAATGGTTGAAAATACACTATATATATGACAAAAATTTAAAAACTGGTGATATGGTAATAATAAATATAGCTTGTTTACTAAGTGCAGGTCCTACTCAGTGTCTTCTCGAGGGCAGGGTGATGTCTACGAAATTAAAAGGACGAAAAGCGAATGTCCGGCGTTTTAGCCGGGTTGATGGATGCGAAGGATCCAAATGGGGGAGTTGAAAAACCCTGATTCAAAACCAGTGGTGTACATGGGCTCCAGGATCCTGATGAAATAGAAGGCAAACGAACCTATTGTTGGTCACGGGCTACCATGGAACTGCATCTCCTAACGTTGCTCCACTGCCTTGTGAATTTGACCCCTCAGAAGACCACTTGCTTCGGTCTGTGCGCCCGTGGAGTATCCCAGCCCTCACACAGATCATTTGATTTGTGTGGTGCATATATATATATATATATATATATATATATATATATATATATATTTGGTGACTTCTTGTACCAATGTTTATGTGTTTAAATAAAAATAAAGAAAACAGGTTCATTTACTTACCGCTGAGTCACACTGCTCGTGTGAGGTTACAGTGCTTAACTGCCAAAACTCAAATAGGTGAAACAGTTTAAACTTTTCCATTGATGATTCTTCCTAATTTTTAGCGACTCAACTTTTTAAGATATTGGGGCAAATTACCTATCTATAACATACTCAGTTTCTAATTGTTTGCTGCATAAACTTTCAGCCAGTGGATTAAATAATGCATTTAATTGATTAAAAGAGACGATAGCAGTTACTACCACAAAATTACATGAATAAACAGCACTTAACTCGAAAAACCAAAGTAGATGGAATAAACTGCAATTCATGAACAATTAGATGTAAATCAGTAGTCTAAACGAATTAGAAAGGAGGTTCAAATAAAAATGTTTTTAGGCCTGTACAGTTTTAAGAAATGAGATACAAAGGGAATATTAATCATTTCCCTGATTTAAGACACAACAGATAAGACAAGGAACCATGATGCAATAAAATATCTGAATGGTGGATCCTGAAGATCACTAATAATTAGCACGGCAAAGAATTCTATAAGTTCAATAAGGAAGTCGTAATATCGCATTATGTATGAAGAAAAATGGTTAAGATATATAGCAAAAAAATAGCAGTTAGGATGAATAGAGAAGTACAATCAAAAGACGGTTACGTTTAAGCTAAAACAGTAAGTCGTATAAGACACATACTTACTCGTGTGACTAGTGCATCAATATTTGCCTTTGTAGTCTTCCGACCTTCATCCGTTAAAAGTCTAAAAGAATAATTTCGACAAAAGTTAATTACGCTCTAACAGGACGCCGCGCGAGAGTTGAGCCTGTTTCGAGGATCGACATCATTTTCCTATCTTGCTCAAAATGCAATCGCATAAGTTCTTCTTGCTGATTTCGTATTGAGTCAAGTTTTTCATAAGGACAATTTGGACCTACATTTTTACTGAATAAAAGTGACAGTTCATTACCAAACGATGATTTCCCAGCGTTAAATTCATCCAACAACTTTAAAAGACGAGCTTCCATACGTTGTACATCATCTACATGGATAGCAGGTGCACTATCTTGATTGGCTGAATCATTGTCTGGTTAAAATATACTTCAGAAATAAGAATAACATACTGCAATCATCACTGTTAGGAAACATATTCTGTTCGAGAGACATCAACTCCATCTACCTGAATTAAGAATACTTTCAAGTAAATAAAGTTATATATATAGCCGGAACAAGCACTGCTAGAGTGGATCCCCGTCAACAGTCGTCTATGTGCTGTTCGGCTAAACGGCTCCATAAAAACTCGGAAGGATAGGGACACACGTCGTTGCCTTTTCGTTGTTTCTGCCTACGCTCCCACTGACTGCAGCTCAGATGATGTGAAAGATGAATTTTACAGAAAGCTTTCTGAACTTCTTCAGAAAGCTAAACGCTCAGACATAGTACTCTTAGGGGGTGACTTTAATGCTCAGATAGGTAGCTTAAACCAAACGGAAAGGCATTTAGGTGGATATTTTAGCATTCCGGCACAGCGAACAGATAATGGTGACCGTCTGCTGCAACTGTGCTCAGACAATCGCTTATTTTTAGCAAACACAAATTTTAAGCATAAGGAGAGACATCGTCTAACATGGCGACCCCCTACACCAAACCAACGATGGACTCAAATAGACCATATTGCCACCAGTCATCGTTGGAGAGGGTCGGTAGAAGATTTTCGCTCATTCTGGAGTACCTGCTTGGACTCCGACCATGCCCTAATACGGGCACGCATCTGCTTGCGCCTCACTGGACGCAAAAAGCCACATTAAAAAGACCCGTTAGAACTGAGTTGAGTAACGAGAAAACCAAAAGTAGGTTCCAGGAACAACTGAGGTCACACTTAGGTAGTTGTGAAGACGAGGCTGACCCAGATGTTGCTTGGAAGGGCATACAATCAGCTGTGGAAACAGCAGTGACCTCTGTTAATGATTTAAACCACAGAGTTGCAAGGAACCAGTGGATTTCTGCAAGGTCTGTCACACTGATGGATTCTCGCAAACTCGTCCCATCAGGTTCTGAACATGATGAAGAGCGTAAAGAAATCAGATCTAGGTTAAGAAAAAGTCTAAGAAACGACCGTGAGCAGTGGTGGGCAACGAAAGCAAAAGAGATGGAAAAGGCGGCGACTATAGGGAACACAAGACAGCTTTACAGACTAATAAAAGAAACTGGAATTAATAAGTCAAGTGTAAGTGAGATTATATCGGAAAAAGACGATACACTCATCTGCTCTAAGTCCAGACGTTTAGAACGATGGGGGGAACATTTCAGAGAACAGTTCAGCTGGCCTTCAGCTACTCTACAACTACCCTCCATTCCCAGACAGTGTGAATGGAACATTGAAGTAGGTCCCCCAACTCTTGCTGAAGTTCAAAAGGCTATAGTTAATCTGAAACGAGGAAGGGCAGCTGGTCCAGATGGATTGGCTCCAGAGGTCTTTAAGGATGGTGGTCCAATTTTATCGATTAGGTTCACTAATATTTTAGCTAAAATCTGGGAGTTAGACGTTATTCCATCTAACTGGTCACAATCACTTATCGTCCCAATATATAAGAAAGGGTCAAAATCATCCTGTGACAACCACAGAGGGATTAGTTTAACTAATATAATATCTAAAATACTACCCTCGATAATTATCAGACGCCTAACTAAGACTCGTGAACAGCAAACACGAGAGAACCAAGCTGGCTTTAGACCTGGTCGTGGCTGCATCGACCACATATTCACCATTCGTCAGATTCTAGAGCAGAGGCATACTTATCAGCGTCCGACAATGGTGGTCTTTCTCGACTTAAAGGCAGCATTTGACTCCGTAGACCGCGAGATTCTGTGGTAGTGTCTGTCATTGAAAGATGTACCCCAGAAGTACATAAACCTTGTAAAGGCTCTTTACTCGAACACTACTAGTCGAGTCAGAGCTTATGGCGAACTGTCATCTACTTTTGCAACCTCAAGTGGTGTCCGTCAAGGCTGTCCACTTTCCCCATTTTTGTTTAACTTCATCATAGATTTACTGATGGAAATAACTTTCTCGTCGACCGAGTTCTCGGGTATTGATCTCCTACCAGGAGGTCCACTTATCGACTTAGAATATCCAGATGACATAGTCCTGTTTGGTGAAGACGCTGACAAAATGCAGAGTCTTCTGGTAGCACTGAGCAACAATGCCAGGATGTTTGGAATGCGCTTCTCTCCCTCTAAATGCAAGTTTTTGCTTCCGGACTGGTCTGCGTTAACACCTGAACTAAGGATAGGGAGTGAAGTAGTCGAACGCGTCGACAACTTCACTTATCTTGGAAGTCTGATCAGCCCTAATGGGTTGGTGTCTGACGAAATCTCAGCACGGATTCGAAAAGCTCGATTGGCTTTTGCCAACTTGCGTCACCTGTGGCGAAGGCGAGATATCCGTCTATCAATAAAAGGACGAGTATACTGCGCGGCAGTCCGTTCTGTTTTAATTTACGGCAGCGAAACATGGCCATTAAGAGTAGAAGACACTCGTAAGCTATTAGTATTTGACCACAGATGGCTCAGAAATATTGCTGGCATCTTCTGGGATCACCGGGTAAGTAATAGTGAGGTTAGGCGCAGGGTATCAGGGGATGATGGTAAATCAGTTGATGAGGTTATGAATCTTTATCGACTGAGATGGTTGGGCCACGTGTTACGTATGCCTGAATACCGATTACCACGACGTGCAATGCTATCCGGTATTGGAGATGGTTGGAAGAAAGTTAGGGGCGGCCAAACCAAAACGTGGCATCAGTGCTTGAAGTCACTAACTTCTAGTCTGAGCCATGTTGGTAGATGCAGACTACTTGTTTGGTGTCCGTGTGACTATAGTAACCAATGGTTGGAGACTCTTGGTGACATGGCTCAGAATCGATCACAATGGCGTCGGTGTATACACTCCCTGTCTCCCCTTAAACTAAGAGATTAAAATCGCTTCATACCTTTCTTTCTACGAACCAATTTTTTCTTCTTGTACTGTATCTCTACGCAATCTTTCTCTTATATATTACCACCTTTGACCTAACCACTGCTATGAATCCAGTGTTCATCTTGTTGTGCTGATGCGGTATGGCAACCTGGACCGATGCACATATGTGCCTGGTCCTACGTTGTGGCTGACTGACTGACTGTCCTTGAACTTTGTCACCCATCATTTAACCTGGTTCGGTGAGAAAAGTCAGAGTGCTTATACATCTTTACCGATGATTAAAGTAGACATCAAGCACACACCCATGCACTCAGCATGAAACCAGACTTCGTGAGTAACTAGGCTGGCCGGGTACATAAAAAATAATATATGGGGTGGAATTCAGACTTGCAGTGTAAAAGTTGAAATGTGACTGGTTGTTAGCCAATTAGTTCGCTACATCTACATTACCACTAGCCAGGTGACACAAAAGTGAAACAATCAGAGGTTGACATGGGACTAACTAACAAACAGTATAGTTTAACCAGAATAAACTATCTATAATAGACAGTCATCAACCAGAAACTAATTTTTTTATAGTTGACTGGTCAGAAGAGGTAAAATTGGAAAGTAATAAACTTGGTTTGAGAACTTAGGTACTGACTTTTGTGTAATACTTTCTCAAATTTTGAAAAACGGTAAGGACACAAAAATAAAACAATTAGTCATCAAAAATACGAAATTTGCCGTACTCTATGCACTGGGAAGACTCAATCTGGTGCTCCTACGGAATTATTGGTGGCACCAAACACGGGTAAAAAGGGAAGGCTGGGTGTAGAGATAAAAATTTCAATTTGCACAAAGACCACTACGAAAACACCAGCAAACAAAAATTCAGTTGAAATTTACTCTAAAAATGTAATGGTCGTCACGCAGAGGAGTTACAGAGCCTTGTGGTGAAAGTCAAAATTATTTGCAAGAGAAGAGATTGAAAATCAGGACAATGATAAACATACAAACATGGAATATCTAGACAATGTAAGGGACTAGGAGGATCATTTAAACAGGACGTGAAATGAGAAGACACAACCTAACCGAATTGAGGACAGGAAAAACTCACTGTACATAGTCTAGACAGAAAAGATTAACGTAATAAGAGAACGCTGTATTCTGGTCACGAAGGAGAAAATCCTCCGTTGCACTGATCCTGTCCAAAGAACCACAAAAGCACCCACATAGTTCAAGCCTCAAGGCTTTAGAATCATTAAAGAATCTTTCAAAACAAAGAAGTAAGGAAGACCAGTTCATGCTAGAGAAGTAACCAGGAAAACATCTGACGATCCTGATGTGGGATCTAAATGCTAAGGTCGAAATGGACAACGCTGAGTATAAATACATCGAAGGGAAACATGAAATGGAAGAAATAAATGAGAATAGTGAGAGTGGTAGGTCTGCGTGCTGTCAACAGCATAACCATAGGCAACAGTATTTCTCCCCAAAAAATCATAAGCAAAGTAACATGGGTTCCACCTGACCACACTATTGAAAACCATATTGGTTGCATACACAACATTTTCAACAAACCAAAATGTGCTGAGCCCCAAAAAGCACAAGCACAATGGATCACCACAGAGTCTGAAGACAATTCAAAATGGTAGGTCATGGAACAGCAGTTAACAGCCGAACAAAATCAGAGAAATCAATGTACAGAATCGAACGAACGAGTAGAAGTTGACACCAGAGATGATAAACGGAAATATGAAGATGACTTGCCAAATACGGTTAAACAAGCCACAAGAGGGAGTATACAAGAGAAACTCTAGCAGAGAAGCATAGTAGACTAGACTGACTTGTCAAGAACGAGGAATGAAAAGACGTTAGGAGAGTCTAGTACATCGTGGTAACTACCAAACTGAATTACAAGAAATTTTCTAGCTTAGGATGCTCAAAGTGAAAGGAGGCAAACTAAAGAACGTGTCTTCAGAAGTTGGAGGCCAACATTAAAGCCTTGAATACATTTCAGTAATATTTGGAAAGGACAAACCACGGCCGATTAGTTTGGTGCCTAGTAGGTGCTTGTTGACAGGTCATGAACCATTTAAGCGTGAGTACCAAAACGTCCGTAATATCTGTAAGAAAACCATAGCCAAATCCCGTACCACTTACGAACGACAGTTAGTACATGATAGCCGTACTTGTCCGAAACGATTGTTTTCGTATGTTAAACGGCGAATGAAACTTAGTGATGGTATTCCCCCGTTACTGTTACACGAAAATTCAGAATTACTAGCTGAATCAGATCGAGCAAAAGCTGAGACTTTTTCAAACTATTTTAGCGAAGTCTTTTCTACGTTTATTGTAACAAATACTTGTCCCACTCACACCGAGATACTAACCATTGAATTTGTACAGGTGACTGAGGAAACCGTCCTTCCGTTGACAACTAACCTCAAACCTGGTAAGATACCTGGCCCGGACGGGTTACATCCACGGTTGCTGTCATCTCTTGCGGAGATTATTTCAAAACCGCTCGCGACACTCTTCAACATGTCCCTTTCACTCGCTCAACTCCCCAGAGATTGGAAGGACGCTATAGTTAGTCCTATATTTAAGGACGGTCAGCGACAGATAGTATCTAACTACTGGCCTGTCAGCCTAACTAGCATAGTCATTAAGTTACTTGAAAAGATAATTCGGGTTAGGTTGCTAAGCCACATAGATTTACACAATCTGTTAGCTCCTGAGCAACACGGATTTTGTAACAAGCGTTCATGCTTGACTAACTTGCTTATTGCGAGGGAGGATTAGACAGCAGCCCTAGATAACGGTCTGTCTGTCGATGTGATATTCATAGATTTTAGCAAAGCATCTGACAAGGTTTCACACGTAAGTCTTATGCAGAAGCTCACGAGCTTCGGAATAATAGGTACTGTACATGAGTGGATAGGAAATTTCTTATGTGACCGCAGACAGAGAGTGAGGGTCAACGGAACGCTATCCGACTGGAAGCCGGTCAAAAGTGGTGTACCCCAAGGCACCATCTTAGGCCCTCTGCTCTTCCTTCTCTACGTTATTGAGTTGTCGCTGTTACTTAGGTCGTCGACATTATTGTTTGCGGATGATGTAAAAATCTGGAGAATAATAAAAAGTGAGGCTGATCATCTAGATTTTCAAGCTGACTTAGACGATTTAGTTAGATGGGCTCGAGAGTGGGGCTTAGAAATCAATGCTAGAAAGAGTGTGCTAATGCACATCGGTCACGATAATAGTTATCGTTACACTATTGAGGGTAAACCTCTTCCATGCGTTCAAGAGCATAAAGACTTAGGAGTAGTATTAAGTCATGATTTAAAAACAACTACGCATTGCAAAGCAGCCGCTGTCAAAGGTTTTCGTGCGTTATGGTCACTTTGCCGAGCGTTCAAATCTTTTGACGAGGAAACGTTTCGAATTTTATATCCCATATATGTAAGACCACATTTAGAGTACTGTATCCAAGCAGCTAGCCCGTGTCTGGTAAAGGATACTAACTCCCTTGAGCGTGTCCAGCGTGTGGGAACGAAATTAGTGAAGGGTCTTTCTAGACTCCCTTACGATGAGCGCTTAAAACGCCTAAAACTTTTCCCCTTGTCGTATCGTAGGACACGAGGTGACCTTATACTGGCATTTCGTATCTTTAATTATGATTTGGGTGTTAATATGTCTTATCTTTTTGTTCCCTCCAGCACTAATAATCACCGAGGTCATAGCAAGAAGGTTCATAAACCATGATCTAATAAACTTAAAGTGGGGTCCCAATTTTCTCATCGAGTAGTCAATCATTAGAACGCCTTACGCGAACAAGTGGTATCAGCTCTATCAGTGATTACTTTCAAGGAGAAGCGGGACCTTCACTGGAAAGCAATATGTCAGGATTAATACAGGCTCACCAACCTACTTTCCTTATTACTGAAGACTGAAGACTGCTTATGCCTTAACGGGGTTAACCCCGTTGAGGCTAATTAGCAAATGAAAGTAACATATTTCACGAGAACAGTTGGCCATATGCTACAAGGATGATGTACCAACATAACTATGAGACATAGAGCAGCTATGGTTATTCTGTAACCATGGTTATATATATTAGTCTAAGGACCATAAATTCTAGGTATGGGAATGTAATAATACATATTACTGTGCTGGCTACTATAAAATATGGAAGGGCTTAAGAATAAGATAAACATATAGGA